CCAGACGAGCTGTTCCATAGTTGAACTACCAGACTAGCTGTTCCATAGTTGAACTACCAGACGAGCTGTTCCATAGTTGAACTACCAGACGAGCTGTTCGATAGTTGAACTACCAGACGATCTGTTCGGTAGTTGAACTACCAGACGACCTGTTCGATAGTTGAACTACCAGACGAGCTGTTCGATAGTTGAACTACCAGACGAGCTGTTCGATAGTTGAACTACCAGACGAGCTGTTCGATAGCTGAACTACCAGACGAGCTGTTCACTACCAGACGAGCTGTTCGATAGTTGAACTACCAGACGAGCTGTTCCATAGTTGAACTACCAGACGAGCTGTTCCATAGTTTGATAGTTGAACTACCAGACGAGCTGTTCCATAGTTGAACTACCAGACGAGCTGTTCGATAGTTGAACTACCAGACGAACTGTTCGATAGTTGAACTACCAGACGAGCTGTTCGATAGTTGACGAGCTGTTCGATAGTTGAACTACCAGACGAGCTGTTCGATAGTTGACGAGCTGTTCGATAGTTGAACTACCAGACGAGCTGTTCGATAGTTAATTACCAGACGAGCTGTTCGATAGTTGAACTACCAGACGAGCTGTTCGATAGTTAAATTACCAGACGAGCTGTTCGATAGTTGAACGACGAGCTGTTCGAGTTGAACTACCAGACGAGCTGTTCGATAGTTGAACTACCAGACGACCTGTTCGATAGTTAAATTACCAGACGAGCTGTTCGATAGTTGAACTACCAGACGAGCTGTTCGATAGTTGAACTACCAGACGAGCTGAAACTACCAGACGAGCTGTTCCATAGTTGAACTACCAGACGCTGTTCCATAGTTGAACTACCAGGCGAGCTGTTCGATAGTTGAACTACCAGACGAGCTGTTCGATAGTTGAACTACCAGACGAGCTGTTCCATAGTTGAACTACCAGACGAACTGTTCGATAGTTGAACTCCAGACGAGCTGTTCCATAGTTGAACCTACCAGACGAACTGTTCGATAGTTGAACTACCAGACGAGCTGTTCCATAGTTGAACTACCAGACGAGCTGTTCGATGGTTGAACTACCAGACGAGCTGTTCCATAGTTGAACTACCAGACGGGCTGTTCCATAGTTGAACTACCAGACGAGCTGTTCGATAGTTGAACTACCAGACGAGCTGTTCGATAGTTGACGAGCTGTTCCATAGTTGAACTACCAGACGAACTGTTCGATAGTTGAACTACCAGACGAGCTGTTCCATAGTTGAACTACCAGACGAGCTGTTCGATAGTTGAACTACGAGACGAGCTGTTCGATAGTTGAACTACCAGACGAGCTGTTCGATAGTTGAACTACCAGACGAGCTGTTCGATAGTTGAACTACGAGACGAGCTGTTCGATAGTTGAACTACCAGACGAGCTGTTGAACTACCAGACGAGCTGTTCGATAGTTGAACTACCAGACGAGCTGTTCGATAGTTGAACTACCAGACGAGCTGTTCGATAGTTGAACTACCAGACGGGCTGTTCCATAGTTGAACTACCAGGCGAACTGTTCGATTGTTGAACTACGAGACGAGCTGTTCGATAGTTGAACTACCAGACGAGCTGTTCCATAGTTGAACTAGTGTTCGATAGTTGAACTACCAGACGAACTGTTCGATAGTTGAACTACCAGACGAGCTAGTTGAACTACCAGACGAACTATAGTTGAACTACCAGACGAACTGTTCGGTAGTTGAACTACCAGACGACTGTTCGATAGTTTGTTCGGTAGTTGAACTACCAGACGAACTGTTCGGTAGTTGAACTACGAGACGAGTTCGATAGTTGAACTACCAGACGAACTGTTCGATAGTTGAACTACCAGACGAACTGTTCTAGTTGAACTACCAGACGAACTGTTCGATTGTGAACTACCAGACGAGCTGTTCGATAGTTGAACTACCAGACGAGCTGTTCGATAGTTGAACTACGAGACGAGCTGTTCGGTAGTTGAACTACCAGTTGTTCCATAGTTGAACTACCAGGCGAACTGTTCGATTGTTGAACTACCAGACGAGCTGTTCGATAGTTGAACTACCAGACGAACTGTTCGATAGTTGAACTACCAGACGAGCTGTTCGATAGTTGAACTACCAGACGAGCTGTTCCATAGTTGAACTACCAGACGGGCTGTTCCATAGTTGAACTACCAGACGAGCTGTTCGATAGTTGAACTACCAGACGAGCTGTTCGATAGTTGAACTACCAGACGAGCTGTTCCATAGTTGAACTACCAGACGAGCTGTTCTGAAGTTGAACTACCAGACGAGCTAATAGTTGAACTACCAGACGAGCTGTTCCATAGTTGAAACTACCAGACGAGCTGTTCCATAGTTAACTACCAGAATAGTTGAACTACCAGACGAGCTGTTCGATAGTTGAACTACCAGACGAGCTGTTCGATAGTTGAACTACCAGACGAGCTGTTCCATAGTTGAACTACCAGACGAGCTGTTCG